CAAGTGGCACCACAGAGAAGGTCCTGGGGGGAACCGGCAGCCAGTGTGTGTGTGGGGGGGGGGCGGGCCAGTTGTCAGCAGATTAACCCATCAGCCTAGGCTTGTCGATTGATTGTCTAGTGGACTGCTCATTGACATCCCTACGCAGCAGCAGCTGGGACTTTCTGGTTAAGCAGGCCCATCTAATCCTCACCCTGCCAAGCCCTGTTCCTCTAAACCTGGACTCATCCAACAAGCTCCCCACACCCCACTGAGCCCCAGCAAGCTGCACCTGGACCCCCTATCCTATGAAGTCCCACTTCCCCAGCACCTGAACCCCATATCAAGCCCCCACCTCCCCTCGACTCCTCCACTGAGCTCAGCCAGAGTCCAATTGCTCCTACAACAGAACCTGCACCGAGCATCCAGATCTCCACTGAGTGGCCCATACCCAGACTGCCCCACACCTAGATCCCCCCACAATAACCCCCTCCACACTTGGCTCATGCTGGGCTGAGCCCTGCCAGCCACACCTGGCACAGAGAACCAGAGCCAGCCATTACATTGAGAGAGCCAGGTGCAGCCTCTCGCTGAGTTCCTGTACTGGGGGAGGCTGGGGTTTCAGGGCGATCTCTCCACCTCAATGCAGCCAGTGACCCATGCTCCCCTCTGCTAGAAAGGTGAAGATCAGGGGGTTTCTTAATGGTTTTCCTGTCACAGACTTCCAGTATGACACTGCACCTAGCATTTAAGGCTTGGTCTCAAGGGGAGTTTTTCCACTGATTTAAAAAAAACCCCAGTGGATAAGGAATTGAATTATCCTGTGCCTCAGTTTTTCCATTTCCCCCCCCCCCCCAAAAGGAATGCTTCACAGGAGTGTGTGTAAATACTTTGGCTTTAGTTAGGTGCTTTGATGTCAGCAGATGGAAAATGCTGCGCAGTGCAATTTGCAAAGTGTCTTTTACAATTTCAAACTCTTTCTGCATTATTTATGCAGCAGCCCCTGCTCCTGGATTACTGGAGAATTTCAATTTGGGATATTATGGGATAACGTCTCCTCCCATTGTGTGATGCTGGAGCAAGTTGCCAGAAGAGGCAGTGGTAGTGAGAGCGGGGCTCCACTGGGCCACCTCCTGCCCCTCTTCACTTTCAAAGGGCTATTCAAAGACACAGGCAGGCCAGCCAGCTTTATGATGTGTGCGTGCTGAAGGGAAGGCTGGATCATCTGTGGCAGCAGGTACCGCCTGTGTTGGTCTGCTAAGTGGGAAAAACTTGCAGCCAGAACAATAAATGGCCAAGAGGAATGCCTCCCCCTCCTCCTGAGCCAGTGGAGGAGCCCTTCAGAGGTTTCCCACAGGCAAGCAGAGGCATGAGCCAGGGCAATTTTTTTTTGTTTACTTGTTCAAATTCTGTGCTGGGCTGGGCAGCAGGAGCACTTGGTTGGGGAGAGCAGTGATCTTGAGCAGTGGGAGCTTAGGGAGAGCGCGGTGTAGAGGGAGGAAGGATGATGTGGCAAGGAAGACAGAAGTTACAGGCAGGATAGGTCTCAACTCTGATCAGTGGCTGGGAGATTACATTTGCCTCGTGAGAACAGGGCTCGGGATTTGCTTCCTTCACCCCTAGGGATATTGGTACATAAAGCTGGCACCATCATGCTGCCTCAGTGGGACACTTTACTTTCTTGGTTCAGTGAGCTGAACGGGTGCTGGTGGTATTAGCAGCAGACAGCCTGTATTTTACTGGCATGGCCCCTGGCAATTTTTATTCACTGTCTGAGGTGTTTACTGCTGTTGAAGGAATCAACATAGGAAGCCCTCAACTTGTTTGTGTGAAGAAGTTAAAACAAGGTAAATTTTGCAGTCTGATTCTAATTACCTTCTTCCTGTCAGGAAGCAAATGCAAACTAAGGGCAAGGCCTGACATCTTGTTTGATTGTGTGAAGCAAGGACAGATTTCTCAGTGACCTTTAACTAGTGCTTGCCATTCTCTGTTCCCCGGGATCAATTAGAGGAGCTTGGGGTGTTTGCAAGCTGCCTGCAGATCTGCTATGAGGGTATAGAATAAACCTGAGACACATTTCTTACTCTCAAATTTAGTGCTCTTAATTAGGTACCTTCTACATGTCTAGCACATGGTACAAAACATGCTCCATTTTGTTGAGAAAAGTGGAGGGTTTTTACAATAATTATTTGCTTGGATTCAGGGATTGGACTAGGAGACAAGCACACAGGGAGCAAGGACACAGGAAGAGAGGAGGGAGACAGTGGGCAGGGAAGCTACTGCCTCCCCAAATGGAAGCTTCACTAAGCAACCATGCAAAGAGTGGAAGTGTGGCAGAGTACATAAGGTTACACAGTGATCTAAGCATGGAAGTCTCTTTCCAGTATTATCAATGGGTGCAGGGCTTTCAAGCTGGACCTAGTCCAGGTAAATTATTGAGGTCACCTGGGACATTGGAAGAGCTGCCTGCACTAAACTAACTTGTACTATTCCAACTATTTACAGAACTTTATTTTCTTTATTGCATTGTCATAAGTGGGCTTTATCATGATCTTATATATTATCCTTAATCTCTAAAGTGCTACACTACTCATTGTTTTTAAAGTTAGACTAAATGACTACCCTGAGACTTACTTACAAAATCCAAAGCAGGGTTTGTGAGCTGGGGTAAGGAGCTACGGTGCCTGCTCTGGGAGGGTGCAAGGCTATGTTTAGACTGCAAAGTCAGAAAAAGAGATGCAAATTGCAAACTGCAATTTGCATCTCTTTTTCCACTTTTTTTTCGGAAGAGGTTTTTCCAAAATTTGGCCTAACTACACAGGGCCAAATTTCTGAAAAACCTCTTTTGGAACATCCCTTATTCCTCATATAATGAGGAATACAGGGATGCCGAAAGAACATGTCTGCTTTTTTTTTTTTAAGAAACTCTTTTGAAAAAGTGGATGCATTCCTTGGACACAGCAGACTTTTTCCAGGATACCAGCAGTATCCCAGAAAAGCTCTGCAATGTAGACATAACCCAAACCCTTTACACTCTTGGGCTATGTGGGTAGCCTAACAGGCACCTGAGCCAGGTTCCCTGCCTTCCATACCCCACATGCTGCTCACAGGTAGCCAGCTGTGGGGGCCATGGGCTCTGAGTGCTGAGAGTCTGGCAGGGGGTACTTTGTGTACTGCTTGCCCCACAAATAAGGTCCAGGCTGCTCCTGTGGGCCAGTTTCTGGCCAATGGGAGCTGAGAGAGGGGGTGGGGGTAGTACATGAAGTCTTTCTCCTTGCCCATGTCCTGTAGTGCTCAAAGAAGCACATATTTCTCTCCCCGTCCCAAGCTGGATGCAGTCCCGATCTAAAGCTAAGCATGAGAAAATACTGTCCCAAAAACACAAATGTGGATTCAGTTCACTCTCTGCCATGACCATGAAGGAGCAAAGGGGGTGGAGGATACATTCAGGCTATTCTTTTGTGCAAGTACGGCCGTTCTTGCACAAGAATCTGCAGTGTCCACACTGCCTGCCCGCTCTTGCGCAAGGAAATGTATGGTACGGCGTGGTAAGAGGGCTCCTTGCGCAAGAGTTACACTCTTTATCAGGTATAAGCACTCTTGCGCAAGAGGGCAGTGTGGACGCTCGGCAGGGATTTCTTGCACAAGAAAGCCCTGTGGCTAAAATGACCATCGGAGCTTGTGCAAGAGAGAATCCACACTGCCATGGGCGCTCTTGCGCAAAAGCACAGCTCGCACATGGCAGTGTGGACGTTTTCTTGCACAAGACTTCTTGCGCAAGATGCCACCAGTGTAAACCTAGCCTCAGAGTAAGGCAATACAACCCTTTTGCAAGAGATCTCATGACACAACCTTTTCAAAGGAGTTGGAGCCTGACCTGTCTCAGCCCATAAGTTGTGAATACAGAGAGGGCCTTGAGAAAGAACCCAACTGTTTCCTGGTTTTTCCAACATTCGGATTTTTGGAATTCAATTCATGTTGTGGAAAGGCATGAGGAACGTAGGAGCACTGTCTACAGCCAGATCCCTACATCAGAGGGTTTTTGCGGATGAATTTACATGTACGCTCTGTAAGACAAAGATAAATGTACAGCCTCTAAGTACTGAACTCCAAGACAATACAGTAGTTAGAAGTAAATTGCCAGGTAATTGCATAAGATTTGTTTAATTGGTCTTTGCTAGCTTTAATCAACTATTTATTTTAGTGAGTTTGTCTCCTAAAAGAAAATACAGGACTATGTAGCACTTTAAAGACTAACAAGATAAAGTGCTACATAGTCCTGTATTTTGTTTCAGCTACACCAGACTAACATGGCTACATTTCTATCACTTGGTCCTACCTTTTAGGAGACACCAAATTCGGTATACGGCTGCCTCTCCTCATAACTTAAAATACAAGGGTCTGGTTGTGCCAAGAAAAGGGGATTGCTTTTTATAAAACCAAACAGAAAAGAGACAATCACCAAATCAAGTACAGTTCTCAATTTTTACATAACTGAGCAAATGTTTAAAGAGACTGAACCAAGATGAGCCAGAAAGATAGGATTAACGTGGAAAAGGCTTGCTTTTCACTAAGCCTTATAGAAAAGAGATAAAACTAAGAAATTTGGAGTAGTGCTTTGTTTTAGCACAGCTAAATCAATGCTTAAGGTTTGAAAAACTAAAAGGCAGTATTATAGCCCTTTTCTGTTAAAACATAGCAAATAAGCGTTTATAGGAATTAAGAAAAATATACTGATGGAATTCCCATTTAAACAAATTTATTAAAATTCACTTCATAAAAACAACACTGCATTTTTAAAACTAATTTCAATAAAGCATGTTCTTTTCCTTTTATTTTTTTTAAATTGAATTAAAGACACCAGCAATGTTGGGTAATTTAAAATACAGTAAAAATCTTGCACTGCCCCATTAGATAAACAAATTGAATTTTTGGAGTGTAGAGTAACAACAAAAGGAAATGCTCCACTTTAATCATGGACACACAAATCTTCTTCTAAAAAAGCTTTTTTTTTAATATAGGTATGAGTAATTCTGATGTGATGGTTGCTCTTCAGCGTGGATACCGGATGCCACGCATGGAAGCCTGTCCAGCTGAACTTTATGATATCATGAAAACATGTTGGAAAGATAAAGCAGAAGAGAGGCCAACATTTGATTATTTACAGAGTGTGCTTGATGATTTCTACACAGCAACAGAAGGGCAGTATCAACAGCAGCCATAGGGCAAAAACATTTTCCAGTTGGCATAGACTATTGTTCGGACAAACTGGGCAGACCAGTTACTTCATGTATTTGGATATCCTAACAGATTGTGGCTTCTGAAACTGAAGGCTGAAATTTCACTGGAAGAATCATTCTACCTAGAAATAAACCATCTTTTTCTTTGGTTAATTTAAATGTTCACTCTGCTTAGAGTTCTCTTTAGATGTTATCTTTTTATTTGCCTAAATCAACATCCAAACAAGACAAACTTTGAAACAGACCAAATACAGTTCCACCAGTATAAACTTTTGAAGTATTTGCAGCTGAAAAACTCTAAATGACAGCACACTTTACAAGATAAATATGAACAATTTATTAATAGAAAAGTCAAAGCTAATTTGGGAGCAAAATTTTAGATTAAAAATATGAAGCATGATTTTCTAGCTTCTGATTATTTTACATCAGAATCTGGAGTACTGTATCTTGTTGTAAGACTCAAATGCTTAAGATGTAATCATCTCCTTCAAGAAAGGGTTAAAAAGGTAATTTTACTGTAATTATCTTTTGCATTTATACATAGCACAAGCATTTCCACTGCTAAGGTTTGAAAAGCATGGCACCAAGGTAAGAATATTGTGAAATTGCATTATAAAACAGCAATTATTGTGCTAGTTGGGTCAAAAAAGACAGTATGGTGTCTTGTTCTGCATATGGAGGAACATGAATTTAAGCCTGGAACCACTTGCTCAAAAATTTAATTTTCCCGTGGGTTTAAGCCACTGGCAAATCGCCCCTAGAGATTTTGAAGAGAGCACTATCTAGCCCTCAGATGAATCACAATCAGTACCTCAAACTACCTTTACTTATAGAAAGCATTTTCATGGGTATTTTAATAGGAGTAATTCAGTAATATTTTGCTGTTTCGATGGAACTGAAACCTCTCTAAAGATTAGCCAAAATTAAGGTATTAAAATGCAGCATACCTTATAAGCATATTGTAATCAGTGAAATTACACTGAAGGGTTTGTACACTGATTCTGCTTTGAGTATGTAATTAATAGTAATTTATAACCAGTTAAACCCATAGCTGATTTACTTGTTACATAGTTTTTAATGCATATTCTGCTAGGATCAAGGTGTATTAACAAAACTGTATTTAAACTAATTCTCAAGTCATGAGTGAATCATCAGGTTATGAGTAAGTTAGTTATCAAAGCATAACAAGTGCAATTATATAAAGGAGGACACAGACTTGTTAAAGTAGCACTGGTCTGTTCTTAAAACAAAAAATTTCTGCACAATACAAAACAATTTATGGGGGGGAAAAAGGGTACTTACAGAAGCTTTTTTTAAAAAAAGAGGCTAGCTAACTACTAGTGATGCTTTACCATACCAGAAGTCCAAACAGTGAGCAGTAGAAACATTGCTTTTCTTTATTTAGTAAAGCATAATGGGTTTCTGAATGAAGTCAGTCAGTCCGTCCATGTGCTGAATAACCACAGATTGTAAATATTTTACTGTATGTTTTAATTGTAATAAACTCTTAAATTTAAAAATGTGTACCATAGTAGTTATAATCTGTGGGACAAAAAAAAAAGTAGCAGATTTTATAGCCCAGGTTGACAGTTCTGTGTACAAGGAATGCAGGAGAGATCCTGTCAGTGTTCAGATGCTATACAATCAAAATAACTATTTAAAGTGACAAAACAAAATTGATTCTTGCCTTTTATACCCATTCATTTCAAAAGAGATGTTCAGAGGTCTCAAGACAGTCATTTCACTGCTGAATATTTTAGTGGAAATAAATAGCCAGATAAGTGGCTCTTAATCTAGAATCCTAAACTACTCACCACACTAGTATATCTCTTCTAAAAAGCTGCTAAAAACTCAATCTTAAACAATACCACTAGGCTTGTGTACTGAAACATTTAAGAAAGCCTAAACACTTGTAAATAGCGTTTGCGAAATTTAACTTAAGTCATCCTAGTTGCAGAAAATGTCTAGGAGCTATACATTGGATCAAATACAGTATGAGGCTGCAGAGCTAATGGAGTGTTTAGAAATACAGGTGTACTGAAGTGTACCGTATTCCCCTTGTTCAAACACAGATGAAAGCATGTGTGGCTTAACTCATGTTCGAGGAAAAAAAAAAAAAAAAATCAAATGACCTCTTGAGCCTCTCTGAAAGCTATTGTTTGGGGTTCATCAAGATTCCTAATCACGTTACCAGTTTACTATAATAAACCAAAGCATTTAAAAGGAGAGCCTCCATTCATCATCATTTCTGATTTCGTCCTGAGAGGTCTGGCTAGACAATGCCATTTGACTCAATCTGCAAGAAGGCTATATTTCTTTGGAATTTGGATGGCTGTGATGAGTCCAGTGGATACCTGTATTGACAGGACAAATAATCCCTCTGGGTATTACTTTTCTGGGGTGTTTCCTACATCCTAAAATACCTCTCCATGTTCATACAAGTCCTTGAGTACACATTTCTGTGAGTATTTTAACAGAGAGACTCTCTTAACTGATTGCGAGTATTTAGTTGACAGAGGAAAGAGGAAATTTCAAGACTAGAGCTTTTAATTATTATAAAAACAGGATAGTCTGAGTGTTGCAACAGTAATGCTGCTCCATCTAGTGTTTCACAATGCTAGTGACAGCCTCTGAGTCAGGCCCAAGATGAGATGAAAACATGCTGAAAGACCTCCTACATGACTCAAGGCTTTTGAAATGTATATGTATAATGCTGTTAATATAATGCAACAAATCTGTCACCAGTAAACCTCACTAAGGCAACTGGTCAACTCTTAGAACTTTGTTGCTGGCACACGTTTCTAAAGCAGTTAACCTATTAGCTGGCTAAAAGAACTATTTCTGGTTATAATCACCACTCTGTCCTAGCCCCACTAAATTTCTTGAGAAAGTTTCCTTTTAAGATTACGTAATGGCCCTCTTGATTTCAAGTGCATCATATTTAAGTAGAAGCAAAGCTAACACACAAGGGCTGTGTCTAGACTGGCAAGTTTTTCCACAAAACATCTGCTTTTGTGGAAAAACTTGCCAGCTGTCTACACTGGCCACTTGAATTTCCGCAAGAACACTGACTTCCTACAGTCTGAAATCAGTGCTTCTTGCGGAAATACTATGCTGCTCCCGTTCGGGCAAAAGTCCTTTTGCGCAAAAGGGTCAGTGTAGACAGCTCAGATTTGTTTTGCACAAAAAAGCCCTGATCGCGAAAATGGCAATTGGGGCTTTTTTGCACAAAAGCCTGTCTAGATTGGCACGGACGCTTTTCCGCAAAAAGTGCTTTTGTGGAAAAGCATCCGTGCCAATCCAGACGCTCTTTTCCGCAAATGCTTTTAATGAAAAACTTTTCCGTTAAAAGCATTTGTGGAAAATCATGCCAGTCTAGACGTAGTCAAGGATTCAAAGGTCAAATTACAAAATGTATCTCTTGATCTAATTAACACCAAATTTGAATTGACTTGAAAAAAAACCCAAGCTTTATTGTAAGCAAATTTTAAAAAGTCGATTGCATAGACAATACAGTGAGGGACTTTCAAACAGACATTCCTTTCCAAAGGAAGACAATTAGGGATATGACAAGCATTTAAAATCAACAGTGGCTCCATACCATTCCATCATCTGACTATATCATTAAATGAAATCTGAGTACCAAATTTCACATTTTAATTCCACAGTAAACTGACATCAAGTATAAGATTAATGGAGGAAGCCAGCTCCTCTACAAACAGTATCTATTAGCTAATGAAACAGTAAAAGTGAACAAGCTGTTTCCCAAAATGGTTGAACACAAATGCCATTAAATGTTGGAAATAAATGTAAAAAGAAACAAGGAAAGTAAAAAGACAGGAATGTACCACAAACCTTGACACAAGGCACTATTCTCCTGCAGTCTGGAAATCCATGTCTGTTGTCTTTCCATGATCATATCTTCATAAGAATCCCAATTTAAGTTTACATTTACATATTTCTTTAGTAAATGAAAACACTTGACAGATTTTTTTTCTATTAATAGCTTATCCTCCCAGTTAAGTTGATGGTAAGGCTGTGTCTACGCTAGCCTTTTTTCTCCCTCCAAAATTGTTGTCAACAACAATTCAGAATTACAACTGCTGTTTCTTATCAATACAGACATAATGCATTAAGGATTAGAGTTATTCTTTTGCTTTACGTGCCAAAGTAGCTTGTTTTCTTGATGTGGTTGGAGAGTCGTCAGATTTCCCCAAGGTTCTGCTGATGGGTGTTTTAGAAGTCCCTGCTACTGTAGACTTTATATTAGCAAATAAACCCTTCTTGGGTTTTTGCTTCTTAAGAACTTCTGAATACAAGTGCTTTTTGCACTCATCTAGTTGTTCTTGCAAGAGAGAGACTGTAGCTTCAAGCTCAAGGACACGTTTAGCACAGTTCTGAAGGCCTCTCATTTCTTGTTCCTATGGAATAGTTAAGCCACATTAAATAAGTAAACATTACTAGGGATGTGACTGTGTACATGTTTAACAGATGAGTCTAGGCTCATCGGTTAACCCTCATGGTTATACGCGGCTCCAACCCCCACATTGCTGCCTCTATATCAGAGGTAGTGGGGGGGGAGGGAGCAGTAGGAGCCTGTACATGCAGGAAGCCTGTACATCCCTCCCATGCTGCCGCCTCCAAGCTGGCTTTCACAAGCACCAGCTCCCACAGAGCGACCTCCCCCTCTCACAACGAGGAGAGGGGAAGGAGGGGCAGATGGGAGTGGTACACGCAAGAAGCAGAGCAACAGCTTCTCCCCCTCCCCCTCATGTAACTGCTGAAAAATTCAGCCATTATACATTTACAAAAACCAACACATTTTAACATCACTGGATAATATTATTTTGTTCATTTTCTCCAAGAAACTTCAGAATGCGATCTGTAGGTCATAAGATAGCACTGTGCAATTACGCTGCCATTACAACAAAAAAAACTGAACAGCCATAAAAGGTCACATCAGCGATCCATCTAACCCACTATCCTGTCTGACAATGGTTTATGCCAGTTGCTTTGGAAAGAATGATCGAACAGAAAAGTCAGGAAAAAACAACAAATGGTCTGGTAGCACTTTATAGACTAACAAAACATGTAGATGGAGTGATTTATCTCCTGTTGCCTTCAACCAGCTTCTGTACTCAGAGACTTAGAATATTCAGAGCATAGGACTACATCCCTGATTATCTTGGCTAACGGCCATATCTCATTTTTTACCTCCTTTATAGTCTTGGCCTATAAAACATTCCTTGGCAATGAGAGCCACAGGTTGATTGTGTGTTACATGAAGTAGAACTTCCTTATGTTTGTATTCAACCTACTGTCTATTAATTTCATTGGATGACTGACAGTTGTAATATTGTGAAAGAACACACACTTCCTTATTTACCTTTTCTACAGCATTCATGATGTTTTTATAGACCATTATATCATCCCCATAGGGGAAGTCCCAGTCTTTTTAATCTTTCCTCATACAGAAGCTGTACCATATCCTTAATTTTTGTTTCTCTTCTCTTTACCTTTTCCAATTCGAATATATAAAATCATAGAATACTAGAACTGGAAAAAACCGAGCGATCATAAGAACATACATAAGAACGGCCGTACTGTGTCAGACCAAAGGTCCATCTAGCCCAGTAGCCTGTCTGCCAACAGTGGCCAGCAGCAGGTGCCCCAGAGAAGATGGTCCAAAGACAATGATCAAGCGATTTGTCTCCTGCCATCCTTCTCCAGCCTTCCACAAACAGAGGCCAGGGCCACCATTTCTATCCCCTGGCTAATAGCCTTTTATGGACCCAACCTCTATGAAATTATCTAGCTTCTCTTTAAACTCTGTTATAGTTCCAGCCTTCACAGCCTCCTCTGGCAAGGAGTTCCACAGGTTGACTACACGCTGTGTAAAGAAGAACTTCCTTTTATTAGTTTTAAACCTGCTACCCATTAACTTCATTTGTTCTTCTTGATTCTTCATCAAGTCCAGTCCCCTTGTCCTCATGGCAGGACCAAGCATTGTCTAGATCCATCTTTCTTAAACTCAGTTGAATGCTGAGAGCAGCTCCAACCAACACCTGTACTCCTCCCAGTTGCAAGGAGTAAGGCAAGCTGATGGGAGTGTTTGCTCCCATTAGCCTCCTGCTGTGTGGAAGCTACTATACTTGGTGTACGGTAAGCTGACGTCAGCTGTGTACCTTAAGCTGACTTTCCAGATCTAGTGTAGACCTGGCCCCAGTGTCTGACAAGACTGGGCTCAGTAATTAAAGTTGTGAAATGGTCAAATGTTCTGCCCATTTGATGCTGATAATTCAGCTCCCATAGCAGATTCACATTTTGAAGACTAAGATCTTAAAAAAAAAAAAGTTTTTCATTCTTATAGTTGCAACAAAAGTCTTTAAGTGTGAACTAATGTAGCCAAGTCTGAGAATAAAAACCTGAAGGCATGAGCTACTCCGGTGAATTGAATGCATGTGCATGCAAATTGAATATTTAATATTCACATATGCTAAAGCAAAAAGCTCAGCAATCCTAGAAGTATCTTACATTGTTTTTATATGTCCCTTCCAAACTCAAGAGGCCAAATTCAAGGATAACAGTATGAACGTAGTTGCTATCCGAAGAATAATCTACTTAACTTTTAAGCCTCATTGTCAGTGAGAGAGTCACTGAAGCTAGAATATGGCCTTAATTACATCATCTGGGTTAGGCCTTTAATTAGATGCAAGTTAGTCCCCTCCATAGGAAAGGCACCATTGCTTAAGCTTATATTCTTATGTTTCCCAGTAATCAACGTAAGTGTGCAGGTGCAACAGGTGATATTCGGGCATTCAGGAAGAGCTCTCTAAATACTTCATCTTTGACATCTGAAAGTTGCTAGTTTCTAACAAACTAGTGTTTTATAAAGTAATTTCAAATGCAGTAAGATTTACAATATAGAGTCCTCTAGTTTTCCTTTCCAAACCCCTCTACACAAGGTCAAACAAAATAAACCTTCTTTTACACATTACCATCTTAAAGAGTTTAAGCCACAAAGGTTTAACATTTGAATCCATATTACAGGAAGCATCCTCTAATGGCAGTGGTCTCTAACCTTTTTAAGCACAAGATCACATTTTGAATTTAAGTCAATCCAAGATCTACCTGATACCCAAAATCCCTTGCCCCACTCCTTCCCTGTGGCCCTGCACCTACACCATCCCTTCTCCAAAGCCCTGCATTCGCTGCTCACCTTGTGGAGATGGGGGACACCATGACATCAGCACCCTCTTCCACCCTGCACAGCAAGCAGGAGGTTCCTGGGGGCAGCTCCACAACAGAGAATAGGAGCAGCACAGCAGTGGGGGAAGAGACAGCTGAAGACAACCTCCTAGCCAAACTAGTCAGGATCACTTGTCAGAGGCCCCAGGATCTACCAGTATGTCCCAGTCTGCTGGTTGGTGACCACTGCTCTGCTCTATGGCCTTTAGGATATGGATTGACTATACAAGAGATTCAGCAAACAGTAACCCAAGGACTAGCTTTATGCTAGCACTCAAGAACATAAGCCAAAAATAAAATTGATATCGCCTATTCATATATAGTGCAGCTCACTGTTTAACAAGGCTAACAGTCATTTAAAAAGGTAGTTTCAATACTTGTTTGACAAACCTTCAATGTCAATATATGCATCAGTCTATTGTTTTCCTCGATTGTTTTTCTGTTAACTTCATTTACTTCTTGTAAAGTTTCATTTAATTTCTGTATTTTAAACTTCAGAGATTTTATTAGCTGCAAAAAAAAAATCATGAAGATTAAGAAATCACTGAAAATTTTAAGGGTATGTATTTTTATAAATATAAATAAATATTATATCCATAAATATAAATATATTTTTAGAGTGCATGGAGAGGTAGTTAAATACTCTAAAATGTTACACAGTAACAAGCCATTAAGACCCAAAAATAGAATGTTATAAGTACATCTTATCCACAATAAAGTACAACCATCATATAGAAGAACTGTTGAATCAGAATCACTTCAGGAATATTCAGCAGCCATTCCACTAAAAAGATAGGAGAGTTTTGAAAAGCAAGTGGCAGTTTGAAAAAAAAAAAAAAAAAAAAAAAAGATTACTTACCTCTTGTAACTGTTGTTCTTTGAGATGTGCTGCTCATGTCCATTTCATGTAGGTGTGCACATACCACATGCACAGATTGTCAGAGTTTTCCATCAGTGGTACTGTCAGGCCAGCAAGGGAGCCACTACATCGGTGTATATAAACACGTGCTGGTCCTCCACCCCCTCAGTTCCAGGTGGGATTTGGAACAGACATATGCAACACATCTTGAACAACAGTTATGAGTGGTAAATAACCATTTTTTGAGTGATTGCTCATGACCATTCCATGTCAGTGACTCCAAAGCCAAACCCATGGAGGCAGGGTCAGAGACTACAGAGACACGGACTGCAACACCGCCCTGCCCACAGCCACATGATTCCTGGCCTGCTACACTATAGCATAGTGACTTGCAAAAGTATGCACTGAAGATTTCCACGATGGGCACCTGGAGCCAGAAAAGTGGCAGATGAAGCATGGGCGCTAGTGGAATGAGCTGTAATAGGGGGAGCTGGAACATAAGTCAGCTTATAACATGCCCCGATACAGAAAGTGTTCAGGACGAGATACACTGTGCTGACACTGGCATACCCCCTCATGCTATCAACTATTGAAACAAATAACTGGGGTTTTCTGAAAGAGTTTTGTTCTGTCCAAATAAAAAGGCCAAAGCATGTCTAACATCTATGGTGATTAGAGCCTGCTCTCTTCCCAACTCGTGAGGTTTCAGGTAAAAAAAAAAAAAAAGTCTCTGTTGACATGGAAATGAGAGACCACCTTTGATTAAAAATGTGGGGTGGGGGCAAAGACTGACTTTATCCTTGGAAAAGATGTGAGTTGCAGGTTCAGGGTCTTCTGGGGTGGAGCGCAGACTCCAGCCCCACAAAGTGGAAGGCAGAAGGTAGGAGAGGGGGAAAACTAGGGGAAGGGCTGGGAGAGGAAGGGGCTTGTATGGGGGGGGGGGGGGGAGGGGGGGGGAGCAGAGAGCCATCAACGTAGAGAGCACCTAGTTAGGACCCAGGGGCATACTATATCCAAACTGTTAAGGAAGCGACACACCATAGGGTCCTCAAAGACAGTCTTATCCCGGAGCTTGAATGGAAAACCAAAATAGCAGTTAGGTGCACACTGACCAAAGAAAAGGCAAGGCTCTGGATTCTAAGGTCCAGAAGGTAGTCAGCAGAGAGCCATCAACGTAGAGAGCACCTAGTTAGGACCCAGGGGCATACTATATCCAAACTGTTAAGGAAGCGACACACCATAGGGTCCTCAAAGACAGTCTTATCCCGGAGCTTGAATGGAAAACCAAAATAGCAGTTAGGTGCACACTGACCAAAGAAAAGGCAAGGCTCTGGATTCTAAGGTCCAGAAGGTAGTCC